CAACTTATAAATGAAAGTCACCATAACATTAGTGAGAAGGAAAAAAAAAGAAAAGAAAAAAAGTCCTCGCCATTTTCGATTCTTTCCACCCTACCCACTTCCTTCATATTTGGTTTCACCTGCTTCGACGCCACAGTAATGTTCAAAGCTGAATTCTAGTTCTTCCAAAAGCCTTTCCTGGAGGAACTGGATTTTAGGGTCAGGGTTACAGGTGAAAAATTACCAAAAAAACCCAAAGAGAGAAAGTAAAAATCAGAGAATCGTTGAGGCTGGAAGGGACCTCAATCCAGAGGCTCAGCTATAGATTAGTTTCCTTTTCCACTGCTGATCTGACCATATCTGACAGTGCTTTTGTCAATACTATATGTGTTCCTGCAAGCAAAGGTCTAATTGCATGAAGCAGAAGTACTTCAGCCATTTTAAAAACATCTGAAGCCAGAATTTAAAAGCATCAAACCAGGAAAGAAATCAGGATCCCCCCCACTCCACAAGCAAACCCAAACCCATGATACTCATCTTCAATCCAGAACATGTCCAGTACCCCCTTCTGCTGCAGACTATCTATTTGCTTGCTAGTCTAGTGCTTAAGGTCAACAAAATGTCCCTACTCCTCAACACAAGATACACCCTTGCATTTCACTCAATTATAACATGGCCCCATGTCACACAACAAAATTCTTCCCGCTTCTGGGCCAGCCATATTGCATTACCACATTCACCTAAGGTAAGTGTTGAATTACTGCCCCCCCCTATTTTTTCTATACATCTGCAAATGTATAAATAAAGCAGTGAGTCACTTTGGTGCCTCACTGATAAAACACTGAATTTGATTAGTGATCAATATATCACTTCCTTCCCAAATCACATGAATATTGTAAAGAAAATATACAAGTAAAAATATTTAGATTATTCCATTTGAAACTGCAATTAAGCTATTGAATTATTACAAGAAGCTTGACAACAAGGCACTATATGATTGTGTGATTTTCCATTCCCTTGATCCAGTCAGCTGAGCACAGTAAAAACACAAACTGGTATCACATATATTAGAGGGCTTCTCAGTGTGATAGCAAAGTATCATGGCAACAGCAAAGGTGAATGCTAAAGCGGCCTTCTGTCAGATACACTGCTCCCTCTGGTCACACTTCCTGGATTACCTGGTTTCTCAGTATCTTTTAATATGATTTAAAGTACCTAAATAACCTCAGTTTAATCCCCAGTGTGAAAATACTAATAAATCTCTGTCATAAAATGTATCAGAGGTACAGAGAATACACAGACAGCACAGTCATTGAGATACTCTAAAGAAATACTAGGGCTCAGCAGTTAAATAACATGCAAGTCTGAATGCAAAATTTATACACCCCAGACAGCTTGCTTTACAATGTGGGAAATCAAATGCAGTTAGTACACCTGTGTTTGTTATAGGTGCCCATTCACATCACAGAGAAATCACAGTCTTTTCCCCTTCCTCACTGAGAAGACCACTGCCTTCTTTTGGGCACAAAACTGCTGTTGACATAAGAATTACCCAGTGCTTGGTAATAATAAGAGTGTCCTGCAAAAAGATAAACAAGGATTTCAGAGTATCACTTCTACTCTGGAAATCCAAGGGGGGATTTCCCCACATAATCACTCTATATGAAACATCTAAGATCAATCCACAACTGGTATTCAGAAGAACTAGAGATACTGGCAGCAATCCCTAACCTGGAGTTTAGTTTAATTTTTGCTTATTACAAAAAGTAAAATTCCACTTTAAATCAAAGTTTATAAAAAGGATAAGAGGTACCTCCTCTAGCACAGAGGAGAGAGGTATTGTGAGAGATGAAGGCTTTGAGTTCATCTTGACAGCTGCATTTGGGCAGTATAAATCTTCCCTGGCTGCCCAGGATGCACTCCAGCACAGTCCCCAGCCCTGGCCCTTAAGCCTGATCACTGTCAGCATGCTGTTTTTGTGATCCTCCAATCTGGGAATCTGTAGAGCATGCCATGACACTCACGCTTAAAAATAAGGAGGATTTGGTACCTAGCCATAAATTAGTGAGCACCGTTCCACTTTTACAACAGTGGCCCCAACTGCTTGTTTTTTTCAGTGCCGAAGAGGTCCAGCTAGCACTCCTCTCCATTTATTTACAGCAACCATTACAGTTACTCTATTCCATTCCTGTCTGATGCTGCCCCTTTACGATAGTATTTGACAGGTTGCAAAAGCGTATCAAGCAAGGCAACTAACTGCACTTATGCCTTTTCTCCTGTGTTCTTCCTTTCACTGCCAATTCCAACTTGCAGTCACCTGAATGTAAAAAGCTTTACAGAATGCTCTCCTCAGCTAATCAAGTCCCTTCACACTCGCATCTGCAATACAGGTGGGTGACAACAAACCATTAAAATAAATATTCAAAACATTTGCTTTGGATAATATGTGAAGTGTGAATTTCTGGTGTACACTTATTGGGAACAACAGGAGATATTTTGGATAGGATAAAAAAAAAAAAACAAAAACATTTAAGGGATTTAGGAGCTTACATGCCAGCAATCTACAGTGAAGTCTGTACTCCTGCACCTCTTATTTTCACATCTATTTTGCATGACTAAAAGCTTTTGTGGAATCTTTGACGGTTGCATTCTTAATACCTACAAGACTGGGGCAACTGTGCAGCAAGTCACGAAGAACCAGGCCAGTATCACTGCTGGCCCAGTTTCACATAAACCTGCTCACGCTCAGGAGTGCCTAATATCTGCTCTGGATAAAGATGTATTTAATCTCCTCTGTATGGAATAACACGGTCTAATGTACAATCATATGCTGCCTTGAGGACACATTTTAGCAGATCCAGGGATATAAATGCATTGCTGAGACCAGCTGCTTGAAAAACCCCTGAAGGCTTTAGCCATTTCGTCAGACCTGGGTTAGCTACAACATTTTCAAGTGTTGCAATGGCATCTGTAACCTTCAGGTTACAACGTAAAAAGATCTCTACTTGATTTGACTTCTAGGCAGGCCTCAGATTTAATGCCTTGGAGTTTTAACTGCCCTGATTACAACATGGTTTGGCCCTCTGGTCTCTTGAAATATTTAAATCAAAAGAGAAGTTTTGCTTTGTTCTCAGGACGTAAAGATGTAGCTTGATTTTTACCATACATGCATTCTGCTGTGCTTTTAGCCAGAAAAGGATTTGTACATTAAAATTTCACCCAAGTGGAATGAAGACAATGCTCCCCTTTCTCTTTTGCACTTAAACTGGAACTGAACATGTTTTTGGTTTTGTTTTTTTTTTTTTTAAACAAAAAGCATACATAAATAAAATTTTAGGTTTTGGCTTGAGTTTTATGTGGTTTGGTGTTTTGGGGTTGTTGGGGTTTTTTTGCTTCTCACATATCAAGACAACTTGAGAAGATATTCACTCATAACTGTAGTAAAATACAGTGCTCACATTCTTTTTTTGGTTTTTTTTTTTTTTTTTAAACAAAAAGCATACATAAATAAAATTTTAGGTTTTGGCTTGAGTTTTATGTGGTTTGGTGTTTTGGGGTTGTTGGGGTTTTTTTGCTTCTCACATATCAAGACAACTTGAGAAGATATTCACTCATAACTGTAGTAAAATACAGTGCTCACATTCTTCTCAGTGTGGAGGCAGTGTGTCACAGATGCATGTCATGGTTTTCAAAGAACAGTGCGCATGCAGATTCTGAATCTGCAACACTCAAGAAGGTAAAAAAGTGACTTGCAAAAAACTACCGCATACCAAGAGAGACCTGCTGGTTCAGTAGTGCTACTTCTTAACTCTTCCCCTTTCCCACTGTAGAGACAAAAGAGGCAGGAAAGAGGCATGCTGGGTTAGGGATTCAGATCTGGGTGTCATCAGTTAAGCCTGTACGTGGGCAGAAGTCTGCTCCCATAAAACGGGTAACAGTCCATACAAATACTCCTCCCTTTTTTCTGCTGCTAGGCTCACCCTTCTGCATGTTCTGACACTAAGCGCATATTGCACCCAGGTAGTCATCTTCAGTGGCAAAGAGTACAGCTAGTACTGAGCAGTTTCAGAGTAGATAACATATATTCATTAGAACAAGGATGTCACACGTAAGAAATACATGTAAGAAATAAAGTAAGTAATCGATGCACTTAGAAGCAAAGGACAGTCAAGTAAGTAGATCCAAACGTATCAACCAGTACCAGGTATAGTGAACATGCAAAAAGGACCACCAGGTTTGTTCCAAAATGGTTTCGACCAGTGATCAGCTATAGCACAACAAACCCTGTAGTACAAAGTTTACACCCAAACATCTGAGAACTATCCACCACTGTATTGCTTTACACAAATAATACAGGTATTGGAAGTCACTTTTTTATGGCAGTACTAGCAAGTCATACAACCAACCCAATGACAGGGCAAGGAAATCTGACAGCACCTTCCCTTCAAAACAGTAACTCCTGGCAGCTGAGCTTCTTAACACACACAGGAGAACGCTAAAGCATTTCTAGAAATGGAAGCTTTCACTGAGTATACAAAACAGTAATTTTCCTTAAGCACTAGTCGAGGGACATTTTGGTGCCTAAACAAATCATGCTGCATCATTAGCATTTTACAAAGAGAATATAGAGCTAACAAACTAGAAAGCACCTACGCACACACAACTCAAAAATACAAACCTGCACAGCCCACCTCATGAGCACTAAAGCTCAATACCAAACACAAACTTCCAAATCTACAAGTCATTTATCTGTGAACTCCCACAGAGTGAATTGATGGTCCTGTTTCAGTTTGCTAAAACTGGGACCACCAGTGCACTGACTTTTAATATAAACTATCTCCTACTTAACCCAGGGAAACAAACAGTAGAAATGGAAACAACTGACATCTGCTAGCAGGAAGGAGGGAATCAAATACCGTCCTAAGGTGAAGATTTCCAAGGCAACAGCTAATTTGTTTGCTAACCCCAGCATTCAGTCAGGCAGCCTCTGTTGCAAGCACTGACGTGTGTGAAACACTAACCTTCATCACTTCAACCTGCAGGTCTTCATTGAGTGAAGGAGTCACTTTGACGGCATTCAGCATCTGATTAAGCAACTGTTTCTCATCTGAGTCTGTTTCCATGGATACAAACCTCTCATCAGACAGCAGCTTCTGCAGAGAGAAAATGGCAATGTACAGGTTGAGACAAAACTACCTCTGCCCAATTCTGCTGTAAACTACTACACCTAAACCTATTAGTGGTGGCTAGGTTTTCTACGGACAAATTTCAAATTGATCCAATAATATAAAATACGAAAGTATAGCAAAAACTGGGAGATCTGTGCCACGATAAGGGGATAGTTAACATCTTTTGAATCAGCCACCATTCCAGTATCATCTTTCCCCATCCCACTTCTCCAGTGACCAGAAGAAAGCAGACATCAGTAATTGACATGAGAGATCACAAAACACTCCAAGTAACGCCCTCAGCAAAACCTCTCAACATTTTAGAAGTGCGGAGGGTGTGGAACCCTCACACCCCCCCAAACCCAAAAAACAACAACAAAAAAACCCCACTCAGGCTAGTATCCTGGCCTCAAACTAGTGCCAGCAGATACCCTGCCCAACAGGAGACAGAGTCAGCTATTATCCTGCTCACTCCAATAGGGCACAAGCACCATGGAGGTGGCACTTCTGATCACTGACAAGATGTGCTTTGTGTCATTCAGAAGTTGACTAATCATGGATGTGATCAAGTCCTCAGGAGGAAGGACTTGCCAGTCCTTGTTGGCAAGTGACTGGCACAAGGACCACAAATATATGTAGGAGTGCATTCAGTACAGATTGACTGAACTTCAGACTATTTTAGACCAATCAGATTTCCTTTGCCTAGAAAAAGCCAGTATCTGAGCCAGTATCTCCCAACATGGCCAGTGGCACTATTTCCTCAGAGTTCTACTAGAAATGCCTCTTCCATTTAGTCTATAACCACCTTCATGAGTGCCTCTTATTAGTGGCAGGCATCCTGCAATAGATGTACCCACTCAAGTCTTTTCCTTGCTCCAGTCTTCTTAGAAGCTCCCATGACAGAGCAAAACTACCTTGTCTTAGTTGCCAGGAACACAACCTTGCTCTGCCCCAGTGCAGACTTTGAGCAGCCCACTTCACCCTGTACATTCTGCACCATTTCTGTACTGATGCTCCTTCCCAGCTTCAACTCTGTAGCACATTTATTTTCTACGCTTGTAACGGTTTTGGCTGGGACAGAGTTAATTTTCTTCATAGGAGCTCACAGAGTGCTGTGTTTTGGATGTGTCACCAAAACAGTGTTGATAACGCACCCATGTTTTGGCTATTGCTGAGCAGTGCTTACACAGCATCAAGGCTTTCTCTGTTTCTCATGCTGGTCCCCCAGCAATTAGATTGGGGGTGCACAAGAGGTTGGGAGGGGACACTGCTGGGACAGCTGACCCCAACTGACCAAAGGGATATCCCACACCATATGACACCATGCTCAGCAACAAAAGCTGGGGAAAGAAGGAGGAAGGGGGAGATAGGGACATTCAGAGCTAAGGCATTTGTCTTCTGAAGTAACTGTTACACATGATGCAGCCCTGCTTTCCTGGAGATGGCTGAACACCTGCCTGCCAATGGGAAGTAGTGAATTAACTCCTTATATTGTTTTGCTTGCACACGCAGCTTTGCTTTCCCTATTAAACTTTGGCTTAGCCCACAAGTTTTCTCACTTTTACCCTTCCGATTCTCTCCCCAATCCCACTGTGAGGGAGTGAGTGAGTGGCTGGGTAGGGCTGAGCTGCCAGCCAGGGTTAACCCACAACAACGTTTCAAAGAATTTCCCACACAGCAGTATATCAAGTGTTTTAGCACTGTACAGCCTGATGAGATTTAACTCAATTTACAAGGAAAATAATATGTTTTCTATATGAAGGAGAATGTTTTGTTTGGTATGAGAGATATGGAGCTATTGGAGAGAGTCCAGGGAAGGGCCACTGAGATGATGGACTGGAGCATCTCTCATATGAGGAAAGGCTGAGCGAGCTGGGACTGTTTAGCCTGGAGAAGAGAAGGCTTAGGGGGGATCTCATCAATCTCATCTCTCAAAATATAAATACCTGAAGGAAGGGTGCAAAGAGAACAGAGCCAGGCTCTTTTCAGTGGTGCCCAGTGACAGGACAAGAAGCAATGGGCACAAATTGAAACACAGGAGTTTCCTTCTGAACATCAGGAAACACTTTACTATGAGGGTCACTGAGCACTGGCACAGGCTGCCCGGGAGGTTGTAGAGTCTCCCTCCTTGGAGATATTCAAAAGCCATCTGGACATGGTCCTGGGCAACCTGCTGTAGGTGACCCTACTTGAGCAGGGGGGCTGGACCAGATGACTTCCAGAGGTCACTCCTAACCTCCACCATGCTGTGATCCTGTGACCTACTTTTGGTAAATTCAAGTTGTACTTCATCTCATTTTTGTCTTTTATCCTATTTTTTTAAACTATCTCCATAGCATCAGTTGTGTGGTTTGCTTTTTTGTCCTTCATAAAACTTCACATATCATAAATGCAGATGAAGGACTGTATTGTCACCTGGATTACTTTTTTAGGCTTCTAGATAGGAGGTAACACTCTTATTTAAGGTACCATGCTGCATATCCGCAACTTCGCAATGCCAGTTCTTACAGAACTCAAGTGTATGTGCAGCAACTTAGAAGAGTAAAAATGTAAATTTTATCTGAGTGTTCCCAAGGAAGTTATACTACAGTGGACAGTGGGTCATTCATAATTCCTCCACTATTCTTGGTTGATCATCACTCTACGATGTTCTTCTAACAGGCATACCTGCTCCAGTACAAGAGCAGGCAATGTTCAAGTCCCAGTAGTCTACTATTGCTTTCACTTTAAAAGCAACCCCCTCTCCGTATATCTGCAACACAGGGCACAGAATCTCAGAGTGGGACCAGAGTACTACGCTGCAAGAAGGTGATACATGCCTTCTGACAGAGTCCAATAATTACAGGAACCCTTTACAAAGTACCTTTTTCCCTTAGCTAGAGCCTCCTACAACCATGTTGTGCCCCAATATGGGGCACTCTCTAACCAAATGCCTGACACCTCATGTGCTGAATTAAGTGAATTTGAATGATCCACTTACATCCTTATACTCCCAAAACAACTTCATGCTTGGCCTTTGAGGGAGAAATCTCTTTTTGGAAAATGGTGGCATGTATTTCACGCCCCAGCAGTGTACCAGCCTCTTCTACAACTAGCATCCCCCTAGTGATAAGTATTTACTGATATGTACTCATTTGTCCAATTAAAAGAAAGGTAAACTGCTTTAGTTTTTATACTGTCAAACCCGAGGGAGGCTTTTTGTTGCTTGTGCTGCACTGCTGTTTTCTTCTGCAATTTCATAAACTTGCAAATCAGATGCCATTCCTACTGTTTTCAGTGTACAAAAAACCCTGGAAAGTGCCCACACATAAAGAATGCAGCTCCCAGATCCTTTATTAACCTCTCCATCTTTCAAGCACTGCAGTCCTCTCTTCTAATCAAAGAAAACAGAAAGACTTGACTCAGTTTAGTTTCTAAGATGTTTAGCAGTGGCAAAGCTTATTGAGAATAGCACAGGGCCACACAAGGAAGAGTATACCTCCATTTCAACATTGAAAGCCAGGAACTCCCACCTATCTGCAGAACATTTTTAGCTTCTGCAGAATCACCAGCCTTTACTTGCATCCTAACTTCTGAACACTGTTACAGAAACATGAACATTATTGTTAGGTCCACCTGAGGATAGACACTTTTTCTACAGCATTTTTCAAAAGAAAAGCCTAGATTTCCTTGACACCCATTGCCTACTAACACACTCCCACTCTAAAGCCATACCTGCATCCCTGCTAGAGCCTGTTGGGCCAGCTTCATGCTCTTCGATTCCAGAGCCAATTGGAGAGGAAGGAGACACTTCTCCCTGACAAAAAGAAAAAAATAAAAGTGAGAGGGAACAATGGAACTAAAATTGGTATTCAAAGGAGTTATGTTCCAGAAGGGCTGTATCGCTTTCAGTAAGATAACACTTGCACACAGTAATCAAGGAGAATTTCACAACTCTGTGAAGCACTTTTACCCTCTAAAGAAAGCTGGCATATTTCTTCACATACTGTTAAGAATGGCCTTTTAATTGAAATTTCACAAAATACTTCCCAACTGTTAGCCGTTTGTGTGCATACATGAATGTGCAAAGCATAAAGAAGGGATTCGCAGATCACTAGTGGTCCTTCAACTCAGCGTGATAAGCATTACATTTCAGTCACTTACCTTCTGTTTAATATTCAAGTTGCCAGAAAAGCAGTTTCATAATCCACTTTCTATTAGTCAAGCTTTGGTTTATGGCCTCCTCTACAGTACAGTGTGCCCTGTCATGGTAGCTCCCTCCAACTATAAATGGTGTAGACAAAAGCAAATGTACATTAACGAGTTTGGTTTACACCTGAATTAGCATGTGCTAGAACTATGACTAAGCTGTACTTTGACTACTGAATAACACCATTTTTTGAACATTAAAATAAATCACTAATTAGGATAGTATTTTAGATGCTTTTGACTCAGTGCTCAGATACTGAATTTTTTTTTATTTGGTGACCAAACCAAACAGTGCCTAGAGCTGTGACTTCTCTCTTTACTCCTTGTTCCTTATCAGAAAAGGGCTGCAGCATCTGAGGAACACCTAGTAACCACAAGCCCTTTAGGCAAATCCTGCTAGTTGGCAGGAAACTCATTCTTGATCAGACTCAGCCCATATCCAACTGCAGTCTCCCTGAAGGTTTGCAACACTTCATTAGGTCACATATTGTAAGAGGCACTTATCTGTACATACAGTCTATGTTCACATTTGTATAGACATACTTGCTTATGGCAAACCATTCTGTGCCAGCCCTTAAGAGTCTTAGTTCTCCAACTGTCTGCACTGCACCGCACCCTAAGGAGCCCTTTTGGAATCACACTAATTTCCCATGGAGACAAGTGTGTGCAAGGTAAGAAGGAACAGAAAACAACTAGTTGAGTCTTTTCTTACCCAACCGGAAATCAAAAATCCCTGAATTGTTCCATTTGAATTATTCTTCTTTGTCAAGTCTCAATGCATTCAAACACACACCCAAAAACCCTGTCTTTTCAAAGCAGAGTCAAAGATGTTTAATTTCTAAAAATACCAAAATGAAGAGTTTTTCCTCTTTTGCTCCTGTGCGCTGCCTTTGACCTGAATTCGCTTAGTTTCAGTTGACCCAATGATAAATAGTTTGTTTGCCCAAAAGTATATAAACATAAAAGTATTGACTAACTCTCCTACAACTCTAAAGGTTCGAGTTCTGACACGAATGAAACACATGCAGTAGACTAGCATGCATATTCCGCTCCTCTCGCAAATCCTCCCTTCATAACTAGCTAAGGAGAAGCCCTAGGTTAGAGCAACAGTGACTACCAGAGTTTCAGACATACTGTCAAAGCTACCTAAAGTCATGCTTTGCCACAGTCTGCCCATAACCTACCAACCTCCCTCCAAATGTGGTGGTCTACAACCTGAACTTGCCTTTTAAAACTTAAATGGAGATTACCAAACACTGGCTGTCTCAGCTTTGGGGAACCTAGCTCGTAACTACTTCAGCGATCCTGCTTGCAGAGGGAACTGAATGTCCACTCTGAAAAGTCAACTCTATTTTGGCTGTGTTCAGTTGGTATTCCTTTCTCTCCACCTTTCCACAAAAAGCACAAATCACAAGCTACCCCAAGGGGCACAAACTTGCTATTTGCTCTTTGAAATGCAACCCCTTCCCTCAATGATAAATTAAAGACTTGAGAGTCACAAGCATGGCTCAGTTAAGCAATCCAGCAAGCTTCTGTACTTGGCAAAGACCTCTTGAGAATCTGCAGGTCTTTTCATATTTGTACCTTCTTCTCAGGTTATGGGAATTTGTAAAAGGCCATTTGGCATAACACCACAAGAAGCTTTTTAGAAATCTGTGTAATTCACGTTTCTTTTAAAGAAGTTGAAGCAGACTACATGTGTACCTTAAAATAGGTTTCTAACTAAAAGCTAACCATTTGCTTAATTTAGGATATTCTGAGAAACAGGCAGGCACAAAGCTTAATTTTCTCAGAAGCTCCTTTCTTGAACATTTCTGGAATCAATTTAACTAGAAGGACTCTTAAAACATGCGAGTTTAGCATCCAAAACAGCTTGAACTACAGAACATCTAAGAAATATTTCCTCAGTGTCGTATCATCCAGATCTACAGAAACTGCCAAAACATCTACTCCAGGGTTCAGACAGTAATTCTCTAGCCAGTACAGAGCTGGCTACTGCGTATGTATCTACTGCCAGCTTTGCCTGGACCTGGGAACATATGTAGCATGCAGGTAAATTGTGATAGGACTTCCTAGTTTTGAGAGGTGCCACAGCAATACATCTCTAACCCACAAAGCACCTTTAAGTGCTAACTTCTACATCGTGACTTCAACATACTCTCTCTTTTAAAAGTATCACCCTCTGGGGGAGAACTCACGTTTGAAATTAGTAGATCGACAGGTGCCAAAACAAGGTACCTGTGCATTAACTGGTGCTCAATCAGCCAGACGCACACAGAAAAAAACCCAAACACAATAGCCTATAGTACTAACTGCAGGGATGCTAAAGACTGATGATTATTTAGACCTGCGCCTCTTCAGGGCAGAACACCACATTTCTTTTAGATTTTTTACAGTTCACTGCAACAGCAATTAAACATTTGGGGCATTATTAACAGACAACAAACTTATTCTCACATTAAAGTGGATGGAGACTGGGAGGAAAGGGGAAAGGGAAGGCAGTCATAAGTCACTGGAGTGGATCCAGTTCAGTTTCATTATAATGAAGACAGGTGGGAGCTCCTATGGCTTACGTGTAGCTACCCTGCACATCAGCATGTTGCCTACCATCTGTCATCGCATGCTGCAATGAGCAGAGAACAATGAGAGCTATTTCTTGAGATATCTCCCAAAATGAAAAGCAAAAAATGACAAACGGGAGGATGGAAATTAGAACAGATTCAATTAGCTGAACTTCCCATCCTTGCTAAAAATGTTTAACTGAAAATCTAATTAAGGTTGCTGAAGCCTGTGTTCCCACTGTATTCTCAGAGAAAATGAATTGCCATTGTGCCATTTCCTGTTCTTGTTACACACTCAGTCAATTAAATCTTTAGCATTTCCATGCTACAGCTATAAAACACCTGCAGAGATACCTCACAATGTGTGATTAGCTTGAGCATCTTCCATACTTCAGTTTGACCTGCCATTTAAATGCATCATCTGCTAGTATAAGAATACAGAAAGACACAGCAGATAATCCTCAGACAGAATGGGAGAGGATGACGTAAGTTAACAGTCAGTCCCTACTAAGGTCTACCACTTAAGAACTGGGTTCAATAAGGCTGCACAAGAGAGAATACAGACCAGAATTTCGTCTCAGAGTGCAATGAAGAAAGGGATTGAGGTTTCCTCTTATACCTTACAGCCCTTTTATAATTTCACCCTGTTTTGAGTGGTCCCACGCCATGGGATCTCATTGCTTACTCCACTCTCTGCAGTTCTATACTGTCAATTGACAATTCATTCAGGTTTTGTAGTGCTACACGTGTAAGACATTTTACATACGTGAAGTTCTCAGAATAAGCTGGTGCACTTCAATATACTTCAAAACACGTTTAAGAATGTTTTCCATTTATGTTACTGTACAGAAACTAGTTTCACACTGGAACGCCTAGTTTCCATACTGATGCATGCACATGTGGACATATATACACATACAGTTTTTAGGCACAAATACCAACTTAACCCTGAATGAGACGAGTCAAGTACAACACAGAGAGGGCATGAAAGGAAGGAAGCACCTTGACTTGGAGGAGGGGAAGCTACCAAAAGCTTCAAGATAAGGTATCCTGGGCACCAACAGATGAAACAAAGCAATGAAAACAGAAGCTAGAGGGAAGAAAGAAGTTGAGATGGTGTAAAGAAGGAATGATAGTGAAGAAAAGGGATATGCTCAGATATGTGGTGTACTATGCTGCATTGTTTGCATGTGTCCACACAGCAGTGCTCTCAAAAGACAGCTCAATTTAAAAAACAAAACAAAACAAACAATCCCCCCTCCCTGAAAAAAAAAGAAGGGGGGGGGGGAAGAGAGGCACCAATAAGAGAGGCCCGGGTCAGAGACATTACTAGGAAACTCCCTGGTCTGGGTACAGCCTTCTGACTACTATCCACTATTGGTTATACAGGCTGGCAGTGATGAGGTTGCAGAGAGAAGTCCTGCAGTGATCAAAAGGGACTTCAGGGCACTGGGGCGACTGATTGAAGGATCGGGAGCACAGGTAGTGTTTTCCTCAATCCCTACAGTGGCAGGGAAG